ATCTTTATTTATAACCTGGTTGCTTACGAAAAGTAAATACTTTTGTTGACACATTAATGCATGCTTATGTGCTCTGCTTTCGCAATGCTCTTGTAACTATAGCGACGAGCACAGAATATGAAACAGCTAAAATTTAGCACTCCCAATCCTGCTATGATGTAATAGAAGTACTCCAATCTTCCCTTATTGATATCACTATCTAGCCAGTCAGGTTGGCCTTGCTTTCCACTAAAGCTGTGGATGATGTTTACTATAAAGTTGCTTAGGTAACTAGCAGCTGCAGTTTGAAGGGACAGCAAAGAATTGCATATACTTCTCATGTTATCAGGGGACTCCCTGTTGAAAAACTCTGTATGTCCAACAATGGAGAACGCCTCAGTAAAGGCTAAAATTATGAATTGAGGAACTAGCCACATTACGGACATGGGTGCAACCCCATCTAACCCTTCTAGCGAAATGGCCGAAGCCCTTCTTTTATGCTCCACCAACCCTGCAACCACCGTTGTTAGAATTCCAAAAGCATGTCCAAGTCCAATCCTTTGAAGGGTTGTGAGCCCTCCTTCTTGCTTGGTGATTTTCGCTAGTGCAGGAGAAAGGACTCGATCATAGAATGAGATGACTAGAACCAGGGTCAGCATTGTTACTATAATGATCGAGCCAGCAGGTATCTCAAAGTTGTGTCCCAGGTGCCTATCCATTTTCAAGGCTTGTGATATTGGAAATATTGAGAATTGTCCTATGGGAATGTACACTATTATACCTGTTACCCATATTGGCATAATTTTGAGCAAGCATTTGAACTCTTCAACTTGTTGGATGCTACAAAGTCTCCAAGGATCACTGTTTAACCCATCATCATTCAATTCGTTCTCCATAATAAGAGCCGCTTTATTTAAGAACCTATGGAACCAAAAATCAAGCATAAAACATGACTAAGTGCATGTAGGTTAACAATATATTTTCTTTTTCCTTCTTCTTTTTTCACAAAAGAGATATTACTCACCTAAACTCCTTTGTAAGAGGCAGCTTTGATTCTGCACCTTTCTCAAGTGGGGGGTCATAGAAAGCTCCTCCTGTGTCCTCTGCAGCAGGAAGATGAAGGTGACGCTTGTGTTTAGCTGCAACTAGCACTTGAGCTATCCTTGAAAATATGCTTCCCTCAGGCTTAACATAAGCATAAATTTTAGTGCCAGCAAAGAAAAGGATAATTGCAATGAACATAAACATAGTGGGCAAACCAAAACCAAGAGTCCAACTATAAGAGTCCTGGATTTTAACCACCACAGTCACGTTGATCAACATGAGCAGAATCTGTATAACGTAGTACAGATTGTAGAAGCTTCTGCTTCCTTGCCTTCCTTCAACTGTGGTCAAATCAAATTGGTCAATGGCGAAAGGAATGCTGCATGGACTGATTCCACCAGTGCCTAGGGCTAACCAGAAAAAACCCAGAAGCAAGACACCAAGTTGGAAATCAGTGCGGCCCTTACACACACCAATCTGCTGCTGCTGAAGTGAGCATGGCGAAGGATGAAATTGTGGCACCCAGGATGTTAGCGTTACTATCAACATACCCTAATCAGTTTCATGAGTAAAAGTTATAATCCTAACGAGTAAATGTTTAGCAGTGGTTCTCCAAGTCTGAACGAAATTCAACCATAAAAAAAGAACAGAGAGGAAAAAAAAAAACTTTGTTATTATATATTCCTCATGATTCTCTTCAGCAAGACTTTGATCCCATCAATGTAAGAAACGAACTCGTGTATAAACCAAGTTATTATTACAGTAGCAATAATAATTAACAGTTTACTCAAGTTATTAAAAAAATAAAAATAGTGCCCCTAAATGAAATAAAAACGCACCGTAAGATTAGCAAAAGATGCTATGGCAATTGTTAAAAATTTTCCCAAATAGGCATCCGCAACAAAAGCACCGATGACTGGCAAAACATTGGAGATACCAGACCAAGTGTTCAAAATGTTTGCAGCAAGCACCTGATCCATGTTGTACTCTCTCATCAAGTACACCATGAAATTTGTTTGTATTCCAAATTTTGCCAACCTCTCAACTGTGTCATTTCCTGCACAGTTAAGATAATCAAACCCAAACTTTATAGATCAGCCAAATGTCAACTTCAAAAATTAAAATAAAACAATTGAACAATATTCAGAGACAGAACCTAAAAGGTACGGCACTGCCTTCCATCCTGGCTTCTTTGGGCGTGTCTCTGGTTCTAACTGAACTAGGCTTTCTTCATCTAACAGTTTCTTTTGAAGTGATGACATTGAACTGCGTTTTGTGCTCCAAAATGAACTCATCAGTGAGCACATCCTTTCATAGTCATCTCTCTTCCCCATTTTCTTTTTCTTTTTCTTTCCGGTTAACAATATTCTGTGTTTTATTTTGGCATAGGTGAGAAGCTGAAAACAATGACCATTTCGCCACACGCCTGGCAAATAAATTTACTGGACTCCCACGTCAACCGTAAATTTTGTCAAAATGATACGCGTCATATTTCGCTATACTGTGTAGCGAAATATGTTTGCATATAATTCGCTACACAGTGTAGCGAAATATGCCATGTCAGGCTGCACAGTCAGCAAAAATGACACGTGTCAAGATTCAAGCATAATTCTTTTGACGTGGCAGTCTGATAAATTCTTTTGTAAGGTGTGTCAAAACGGTCACTCTCCCAATCTTTCTTACGTGACTTACCGATTTTATATGAGAGTATTTGAGGAAGGCTTTCTGCCGCATTTGCTGACAATGATTTCCGCATTTTGGGCATTACTTCGGCAGAAAATAAGCTAAAAAAATGGGACTCGTAAAACTGTTTTTTTTTTCAAAGAAAAAAAAATGGCACGAAAATCGATGTAAAAATAACTCCAGAAAGCTTTCTGCAGCATATGCAGAAAATGATTTCCGATTTTATATAGTTCTTCACGAAGGAATATACTACCAAAAAAAAAAAAAAATCTAAATGGTTCAGTGTACACATACGAAAGATGATGGTCAAGGGTGCATTGTACTTTTCTTTCTTCCTTGGAAGCTAATTTAGAAAGCTTTATTGATTCGCTACATTTTCTAATGACGTTGCTTTAAATGGGTGCATTGTATAATGAATTTGGATATCTTCTTTTGACATTATAATAAAGGGTTTAGTGTTTGTCATTTTAAATGACATAAGTTATATCATGTTAAGAGAGAGATAGATACATAAAAAATGAAAATCATGAGAGAAAGAAAGTGGAGGTTTTTTTTTAATTTAAAATTCAAATTTTCTCTGTCTGTATCTCTCTTAAAATGACATAACTTTCTGTCATTTAAAATTACAAACATTTTTTTCAATAATAAATTATCGAAGATAACACATAAATTTTCCACTCACTGGTCCACCAATCCTACACAAAATGTAATTACCTTTGACTTTCATAATATGATTCTTAAAGGAAAAATATCTAAGTACATTTATATAAAATGAAATTTCTTTTAATGCTTAATATGTGCTTGTATGTAACATGCATCCCCAAAGTGATAAGATCAAACAATCAATTCAACCAAACTGATAACCATTAACCACGGTAATGATTGTATATTAATATATTTTTATAATATTATTTGAGTTTGAAGAGTAGATAATACATATGTTCTTTTTTTTGCTCGTTTAAATGTTAACTTTTTTTTAAAATTTTAATATAAAAAAGGGGACCGTAATATTCGAATTCAATGATCACAAGTTCTCACATCATATAATGCAATTAAATGTTTACTTTAATAATTTTATATTAATATATTTAATAGTCTAAAAATAGTATAATTTGGGCCAACTAATCTTTTAAATATGGAAAAATATCTAATACTTTTTTTATTTTTTTATGATCATTGTAAATTCAGATTAAGAGTGCCAAAGATAAGAAAAATTCATGCCATGGATAAAAAAAGAAAAAAAAAAAAAAAGTACCCGATGATTCTTACTAATTATTATCCCTTGATACAGATGAAATTATTACCAGGTACCTAGGCGTAATATCCCGAGCCAAAGTTAGATACTCTTGTGAGACGGGTCTAGGAGGAGCCCACTTGACAATGATATTGGAGCCGAGTTGGGCTCGGGCTAACCAAATATTTGGTTAAGAGGTGGATTAAATATTTTGAGTTGGGATACTCGATTGAGGAGGAGTATATCAATGTTGAGTTTCACACTTGAAGAAAAATTATTGGGATTGTTATGGACCCGTATAATGGGCCCATTAAGTAGTAAGCCCAACAAGGGACAATTCAAGATATGGATTGATACTAATAAATGATAGATATTCAATAAGGATACTAATCCTAATGCGACAGCATAGCTATAAGGACCCTCATCAGAGGAACCAAAGGCTCATCCACACTACCACAGGTAACCTCTATAAATACAAAGGTAAACCCTAAAAGTAGGTACGCTCTCTCTCTTACTGTTATGCTGTAACTGTGCACACACACACACCCCATTGGCTAACGCCGTTATAGTATTCTGTGCACAGTGATCTGCTTGACTCAAGGATATCTCATTCATAGATACCTTGAAGAGGGCACTAGATCCAATATCGACATACTAGCCTATTGGGCTAGACATCTCTGTCTCAAGGACAGAACATTGGCGCCGTCTGCGGGGAAGTTCATATCTGAATTTGAAGTTCCCACCAATCTGATAAGGGATGGCAATCCAGACGAGGAGCAGGCAATCCAGACGAGGAGCAGTAGTCAGCAGCCACCCCCAAACCAGAATCAACCGTTGGATCTAGTCCTGGAGGAGGTAAACTAGTCTCAGAACCAGATCGGAAGGTCGAGGACGACATCTCAGACACCGCATCCACTCCAGCGCGTCGAGATAGGGGGTGGAGGCGAACGTGGCTCCGATAAGAAACAACCCTGCCCAGCATCCAGGAGATCTTGCTGCGCGTATTGCCCAATCGGCTGATCCGGATACTCGGTTGGCCAATAATGCATTCGCTGCAATCATGGAACGAATTGCAGAACTGGAGACCCGTAATAACTTGCAACAGCAGCATGATTTCAGGGATATACGGGAGGAAAATAATAGGGGGATGCGAGATCTGGAACATCGTTTAACGCAGCTGAATGGACCAGGAGCAATCGATGTGGAAGGCCAAGCTGCCAATGGCCGAGAAGGAGCTCGGAACTTGATTCAGCCAAACCGTGTTCCTCATGCAGAAAATCACGAAAGACCCAACCCCGTGAATGTTGTGAACCAGAACTAGGGAAACTAGGCTGCTAATGACCAAAATGCTCAAAACCATCAGGCGCAAGCTGACGGTCAGCAAGATCGGGTTAGAATTCATCCTGGACATGATGCTCAAAATATCCGAAGGCGGGTAGAACCCGACGGGTATAGAAGGAGGTACAGCAGGGGGCAGTACAACAACAGCCCCTTTACTGGTGAAATACTAAACGTTGTCTTCCCGAAGGATTTTGACTCAGCACGTCTGCCAAAGTACGATGGGAGCCATGATCCACATGTGCATATAGATGCTTTCGACGCAGATATGTATATCCGAGAAATTGATGAACATCTCATATCCCAGATATTTGCCATAACCCTAACTGGGACAGCGCAGGAATGGTTTTCAACCCTTGCTGCTAATTCCATCGGATCCTTTGAGGAATTCGGATAGAAGTTCCTCTTGAATTTTGCAACTAGCAAAAAGCATCCCAAGTCCGAGTTCGCTCTCGAAAAGATACGACAGCAACCCGGAGAAACCCTCCAGAAATACCTTAACCGGTTCAAGGACGCTGCATTGCAGGTCCCAGGGTTGCAAGAGAATGTCCATGTACACCTCATAGTGGTAGGATTGGATGGTGCATCCAGGCTAGCCAAGTCGGTCTATAAGGACCCAGTGAGGACATTGGAGGAATTCAGAACTCGTTCGAAGAAATATCTCGAACTAGAGCAAATGGAGATTGCAAATGCGCAGTCTGATAAGGGCAAAAGGGTAAGCCCGAGAAGGAGAAGCCCAGCCCCAAAGGGAAAAGAACAAATTGACAATAAGAAGAAAGATCAACGCCCACGAATCCCGGACATGAGGGATCGGGTTGGAAGGTATGACAAATACACACCTTTGAATGCGGCGTGTTCGCAAATCTGGAGGGAAGTGGCGCTGACGAAGATGAAGAAGGTGGACAGACCCCGACCTGTTTTTGACAGAGGAGGCTTAGATAAGTCCAAATATTATGCCTTTCATGATGGGCCAGGACATACGATTGATCAATGCTGGGATCTCCGAGATGCTGTGGAGAAGTTTGTAAGAGATGGACGATTGCGTCAACACGTGATCAAAACCCAAGGGTCCAAAAGCAACAAAAGGAAGTCGGGAAATAGAAAGAGAAGTAAAAGCCCGGTTCCTGAAAAGAAGAAAAAAGATGACCGAGATCGCAAAGATGATCCCAATTTTGACGAGTTCCCAGAAGCAAAATTTGACTGCAATGTAATCAATGGAGCCCTTGGAGGAGGTGGAGACACTATAAGTGCAAGAAGGAAGTACTTGAAGAAGGTCCTGTCAATTCGGGACCGTCCTAGATTCAAGGAGGATTCAAGCAAGCCAGATCCCCCTCTGTTGTATTTAACAAAGGAGGACATACATGGCGTGTTGCCCGGGCATGTTGACAGGCTTGTCATGGCTGGTACCCTGGTAAACTGCCGAGTTAAAAAGATTTTTGTTGTTGCAGGGAGTAGTGCTGACATCATATTGTGGGACGCCTTCAAAAAAATGAACCTTGATGAGGAGGGTCTCAAACCTTGCAAAACTACTTTGATAGCCTTTAATGGAGAGCATACACCTCCTAAAGGCTATGTAGATCTCAGGTTGACCCTGGGAACCAAAGACGCGTTCAAAATATAATATAATTCTCGGAAGGCCAACTATACACCAGTGGGACATGCTGGTTTCCACGAAGCACCAAAAGATAAAGATGCTAAGCAATAAAGGTGAAATAATCACTATTTGTGGAGATCAAAAAGAGTCTAGAGGATGTTATTTCGACACCGTCAAAGATAATGAGGATGGGCATACAGGTCCACCCCGAATTCATGCAGGGGACAAGCAAAGAAAGAACATAATCCAGCACCACTCCAGCAAACCCGTCAACGTGGTTGAACTCGACATGAGAGAAGAAGCAGTACCGAGGCCAGAACCTGACGGAGAGCTAGAAAACCTGGCACTCAGGAAAGATCCCGGCCAATTTACCCGGATTGGTAAGACCATAGACCTTCAAATTAAGCAAGTATTGGCCGACTTTCTTAAAAGCAACACTGATGTCTTTGCATGGAAGTCGTCAGAGATCCCAGGCATCGACCCCGCCTTTTGCTGTCACAAGCTGGCAGCTTATCCGGGGTCCACACCAATTTTCCAGAAGAAAAGAAAGCTGGGACCGGAAAGAAAGCAAGTTCTACAAGAACACGTCAAAGAACTTTTGGATGCCGGGTTTATTCAGGAGATACAGTACACGACATGGCTTGCCAATGTGGTGATGGTGAAAAAATCAAATGGGAAATGGAGAATCTGTACTGATTACACAGACTTAAACAAGGTTTGCCCAAAGGATCCTTATCTTATGCCTAACATAGACCAGCTGGTAGATAACTCGTCTGGATTTTGTCTGTTGTCCTTTATGGATGCCTATTCGGAATACAACCAGAACCCAATGTACCCGGCGGATCAAGAAAAAATGGCCTTTATTGCCGAAAAGGCCAACTATTGCTACAATGTGATGTCATTTGGACTCAAAAACTCAGGGGCAACCTATCAGAGGATGATGAATAAGGTCTTTGAAGATCAGTTGGGCAAAAATGTAGAAGTATACATTGAAGATATGATTGTAAAATCATTCGATATGATGAATCATGTTCAGGACTTTATTTGAAAAGGAATAAAACATCTTATAAAAATACGAGTAAACTTTTTCCAAAACATTTTATAAAAATATTTCTAAAAACGTTCACGTTAGATACTGCGAAAGCGTAAATCTAAACATACATCTAGTAATTAATCCCATGAGCCAGTATTAGTGGCCATTGACCATCAAGATATGACATCAAGTGTCATTCCCAACGGAGTCTCACGGACAGCATAACAACTGTATTTTGGATAATTGGGAACCAGGTCCCACACATACAGTTAACCTGATAAATATAATAATTTAAACAGACAGCTTGCAAGTCCCACACGGACTGCAATCCCTTCAATGGGTCAATACAAACAAGAAGGCTCCATGCCCAAATTAACTGAATGCATACATCAAGTCTATATTAATTCAAATTATAAAAACATCAGTAATTAATCCATAGCTCTAAGGATACAATCATGAGCCTAAATAAACACATACAATAATCTCCATAAAATAATTTAGCATGTTAACAAGTCTACATGCTAACATCAAATCTAAACATAATATAAAATCATCAACTGCATCATCATCTACTCCAATGCGGGGGCCTTGCCTCTAGAAGCATCACCACTACTCTGTGTAACTGAAATGATGTCCCCAAACGGGGTGAGATAACAACATCTCAGTAAGCTCAAGGTTCATAGAGGATCCTCTAATCCCCTAAGCCCACTTCATGCATGACAAGTCAGATATAAAGCATATAATACAAACATACAGCAAAAACATAACATCATCATATCATGCTTGTGTAACCCCAGGATCAAAGCCATAGACGGTTACACATGTGTGACTTCCAGGGTCAAGCCATAGATAGTCAACACAACCTCAGTATGAAATAGCTCCCAGAGTCAAGTCATAGGCAGCCTACATACCATGATCATTGGCCAGGATCCTCATAACATATATCATCAGTGCATCATCATAACATCAAGATTATATAACAACTATATGAATGTGAATGAATGCACATTAAATCATACCATATACTTTCATACAATATAACCATCATGCCCACCATCATGGTGGGGCCACAAGAGAGAAGAGTCAACTAGAACTAGGAGCTTACCTCAGGGAGCTTAGCACAAGCCCACACTCCAATAGTATATGTATGCTCCAACAAAATCCTCAAGTGTATGGTTCTCTAGGCACACATAGAGTAGGAACCTTTCACATCATTAATTACATATTAATTAATCAAGTCATATCCACGACTTAATCATTTAATGATTTCACTTTTCATACTCATATGCCAATAATATTCCCATTACAAGTCTAGACCAATTATTACATAATTACGTATTTTAGTGCATTATTACAAGCTACCTAAATCTTCAATTAATTACATAACTTAGAATCACATGCAAGGCTCACTTAGGTAACTTATATTATTTTCATCTCATCCAAGCTATATTTATGATTATTATAAGTTACTAAGGGTTCCCCTAAGCCCACTTAGCTTAAATATCACTTTTATGGTTTTCCCATAACTGTCATGCTTCTGTTTTCTAGTCACTGAGCGTAACTCACTTGTTATAAAATTCTCATCTTTTATTATGTTAATATAGACTCAATTACCTTTCCAACAAGGTATCACATGCCTCATTTGGAGTTTCCTAGCTCTGGTTATCACCATTTGAAGTTGGACAAGCAAAGCTGTTTGCCAACTCCGAACAGAGCCCTAAACATCATTTACCATTTTTGTGATTCTGGAAAATATCCTAAACCAATTGCTCTAAAATATTTATGTAGACAACTAGACACCTTTATCTTTGATTCGACATATTATTAGCCTAATTTGAGTAAGTACAGAGGGAGAAAAAATTCGTGGATGTTGCAGCCATGTACAGTGCCCCTGCACATGGCCTCCCTGTGCATTCCTCACTCAAACAAACATACAGAATGGAATACATCTTCAATTGATACCAAATTTTGACACCACATAGCTAACATATCAAGATTCAATTTGATATATGGCACATGCCTATATGACCTCTGTGGAAGGAGATATGCTCTCCTCAATTTTTCCTAAAAACTGGTTACTTAGCCTTAAATGTGTTTAAGATTTAATTAATCAATTATGCTTAATCCACCTCACTTGGTCCCTCCAATAGTGTCCTAATTAAGTCTTAGAACCATTTTAAGACATAAAACCCTAATATGTATCCATATGGCTGAATTGCATAGTCATAAGATTAAGGTTTTTACTTGTCTTTTTAACACACTTTCATGGTTTAATTAAGTCCTTTATGTCTTTAGTCCCCAAAGGTGTCACCTTTATTAATTTTAACCCTAAACCCTAATGTTAATGAAGAGGGCAGAATCGAAGCATGGAGTTTTTAGGGTTCTTAGTTCATCCACATCAAAAACAACTCACACACAAGCCAAATGTGACACTTTTTCTTACAAGTCTTCATCTTTCTTGAGTTTTAAACCTCTACCACACATTTAACCATCAAGACCCCATTTTTAATAATTTACAACATCATTATCAACATATAATTATTATGGACGAAATGGAAAGTGGGAGGAAGATGGGTTTGGATTCATCTTTTCCATGGATTCAAGCCTTACCTCTCCAAGATGGCTCCTTTAGATCCAGATCCAACCTTTACTTACCAAGAATGCTTATTTTTTACCAAGAACCCACCTTCATGAAATATTCAAGGATTTAGAACCAAGAACATGAATTTAAAAGAAAAAAGATAGGGTTTTTCAAGAAGAGAATGTAAGAAACTTACACTAGACTCAAGAACACAAGCACCAAGGAGTGTTCTTCCAAGAGAACTCAAAGTAACATCTCCATGGCATGAAGAAGCTCCAAAATCGCTGCTGTATGGGAAGGTTTCAACCATGAAAATTTGGCTTTTCAAAATAAACATAGGATATTATTGAAGAGGATGATAAGGGGAACAACTTTGGTGAAGAGTGTTTTGGATTTTAATGAAGTTTAGGTGGTGGGATCTTAGAGAGAAGGTGGAGAAAATTTGAAAACCTCCAAGGTAGAGAGAGTGAAGTGAGCTGCTGATGGGAAAGGAAGGGGAAGAGTCTTCTTATATTTTTAGGGTTTTCGCCATGTCATTAAGTGACTTTCTGTCATTTAATGACACCCAGTGTAATTTTTCTCTGAACGGTTATCAAATTTCTACCCTGAAACACCCAAGACTCTAACTTTAACATTTTTTTTTATCTAATTATGACTTGTTAGACATATATTAGTCTTTATTTCCATTTTTTCATCTTTTTCCCGTTCCGGGATTCTACCGGCTGCTTCTACAGCAGTACAAAATATCCGGCAAAAGTGACTTTTGAAAAATACCCCAATATGGGTATCAATCTTCATCAAATTATATCCTAACCTCATTCATGATGTTTATATCATTAGATTAGCTCTCTAAGTATAATTTGCTAATTTGGAGCTATTCTACTGACTGTTATTAGGTCAGCAGTCAAAATTAACAGATGAAAATTCATCTGTGCATAATACCCTCAATATGGGTATCAAAATTCTAAGAATTTCATTTTCATTCTATTTATGACCATAAGGTCCTCATCATTACCCTCAAATTTAAGATCACAAAATTAGGGTCATTATATAGTGATCTGTATATATATATACTACTAATAGTAGTGTGCTTGTGAAATCATTTAGTATTTGATGTGGATTGATAGACGGAGTAGAGGTATTTTAAATGTAATGAATATTCTACAACCACCAAGGGTGGAAGTGAGCAGGAAAATTAATGGGTTGCTCTACAATATTGAGTATAGGTTTATGTGAGCCGTAGCAGACAATGGATTAGAATGGTGATAGGATTTTGTGAGTTATTGTTGTACAACAACAAGGTGAGATGGTATGATTAGTGTATGAACTAAGGTGCATAGAGTGTGGAATTATGTAGTTAGCGAAAGAACTAATATGTAAAAATGAAAATGATAAGATTAGCTAATGAGCTGA